TCTGTCTGGGCGGCCGTCAGGGCACCTGGCTGGGCTGCTGGCTGCTGGCCCGACGTGTGGGAACATTTACCAGGGCTTCTCCGACTGCGTCTTGAAGCTGGGGGAAAATATGGCCACGTACGAGGAGATGGAGAGCGCGGAGCTGCAGGGATTGCACCGGGTCTGCGGGTGAGTGCGGCCCCCGCGTGGCGCCGGCCGGGACGGTTGGGTTGCAGCCTCTGTCCTGCCCCTGGCTGGGGCTGCAGCCTAAACTCAGCTCCCTCTCTGTCCTCCTACCAAACCCCCTCCTGGTTCAGGCTTGAGTCGGCACCTTGGTGCTTTATGAGCTTGTGACGGGTGTCCCGAGATGGCAGTGGGTGAGTGTTGGGACGGGGACGTCGAGGGTACCCAAACTGAGGCAGTGCAGGGGGTTAAAGGAGGAATGGGTAAAGAGGGACGGGATGCGTCTGGGGAAAGGGATGGTGAAAAAGCCCATGAGCAGCAGTGGGAAGGGAGGGAATGAAATGATTGCTGAGATAAACGGAGGTGTCTGAGGGCTCCGAGTGGCCCCAGCAGTGAATTGTGGGGAGAGAAAAGGCCAGGGAGGTATATGGAAATGCAGACAGAAACTAGGGCTGTGGGACAGAAACACAGGTTCCCTGGGGACCCACAGCAGCTCGAGGAGGAGGACGAAACACCCTGGCGCGTATGAGACTTTCCAGGCTAACAAAGGCCACCCCCGGGCATGTGAAGGTGTCACCCCAACGGGGTGAGAGCACCGGGACCCGCTCAGTGCAAGGTTGTGGCACAGGGAGCCCCTGATCTCACCAGGGCTTCAGGTGCTGCCGGCTCCTGCTGCCAGTCCTGGTGCTCTGGCACCCACGCAAGGGTCGATACAGCCTGAGGAGGAAGGTGAGGAGGTCCCGGCTTCGTGCCAGGGAATGCGCTGGAGTTATTGGCCTCCCACCGCAGACCTCCCCTGCTGCAGACGCGGCCCTGTGATGCCTCCCCGTGCTCTGCTGGGCTCCCTGTGCTCTCCCCTGGAGCCGCCCTTGGCGGGAGCCTCTGGATGGGCACGTGGAGGCCGGGAGGGTGACGCGCTCTGCAGATCCCGGCTGGAAGCAGGGCCGAAACCGGCCGGGGCACG